TTGTAATGACTTTTGAACAATTTTTATTTTTAAATATAACTAAACAATTTAATATTTATTTGTCAACTTTCTCAAGTAAATGTTAAATGGTCTATCGACAGACATAATATTCACTTAAAGCTGCCATAAAACTGCCAAAAATATTTTTTTTAATTGTGTGTTCAATGAGTAAATCTGAAGGAGATATTATATACTATCATTGATCGGTGAATATATTGAGATGTCCCCCAAGTGAAAATGATTATTTTTTATTTTTGGTTGGGTTACTGTTAGTCTAGAATAAGGTTTTTGGGAAGCCACCAGGTCTAGTAATAACATAACATAAGTGGTTCTGCACTAATGTAAGAATTTTAAGAAATCATACATTTTGAATATTAGAGATTCACGGAAGATAGCTTCACGGAGGTTAGGATTTCGTATGTTTTTTTTAACATCCCTTTTAATATTTGAAATAAGTTATTGTATCTTTTGACACCTCAATATTTTAAAAATACAATTGTACATACATAAAATATTTATAAAAAAAAATCTATTTACTGAGATATTACACTTCACGGTGGATAGGTTTTAAAATAGCAAATTAATGAACTTTAACTTTTGAATTATAAAACAGCAACACTCTCATCTTCATATAAATTCTAACTGATCTTCAGGAATCACATGCATCTATCTATAATGTTGTAAACAGAGGTTTTTGCTTATTTAGAATGATTAAATCGCCATCCGTTGCATAAAATGTAAAGCTAAAACAGATTCACAGAGGATAGAATCAATTTTTGTAACACCTACATAAATTTTTATAAAAATTATTTCTTTTAATTTTTAATAATATTTTATATTTGATTCGATTGCTTTGGATGTGTTTAATTTACTTAGTGAACCGATATTTTTAGTATGCTTTTACTACCTCAGATATTTGAAAACATATAGGTTAACCCAGAAAGAGTACCATTCACGGAGGATAGGATTTAGACTTTTAAAACATTGTAAATAATAATTAATTGCTTTTAAAAATCTATTATTATTGTTATTATTATTATTATTATTATTATTATTATTATTATTATTATTATTATTATTATTAATATTTTATTAATATTATTATTATCGGAATAAACACTGGTGGTGCCATCTCTGTGTTTATTATCTAACAACTTTTAGACCGATCCAACCTCACTCTCTCTCAATTAAATTATTTTTTTATGGTATTTTTTGAAAACGTAAAAAAGTATAGTCTGAAACACATTTGGAATTGCATATTCTGATATTGTGAAACCGTCAAACTTGCCTTCGGCTCTTCTGTCAAACTTTTCACTCGAGCGGAATATGCCGTATACCAAAATTATTAAAAAAAATAACAGTTACTGACAATAGTCTATAGTTACTGACTAGTTACTAATTAGTTAGTTATAACTATAGTTAGTAATTTTAGAAATTCTATAAAACTCTCTTAAAAAAACATATACATTTCAAATAGTCTCCTGTATAATATTCAAATATAATATAATTTATATTTAATTATATAATTTATATTTTATATTTTATTATGGATGTAATTAAAAAATCTTAAAAATATTATATTATAATAGTTATAACTTTAACACCCTATATATCTTCGAGTATATTTTATTTGTCCTATATATTCTAACGTTAACATTTTGTGTAAAATATAAAAATATTAGAAATCGTTAATTTTAAAAAAAATTTATTCGTTCAATTAACTATTAAAATTAATATTTCTGTGATCGGTTATACATATATAGTATTTCACGAGTTTGAGGCTTTTATATAGAACGGTATGTGGGTAGTAAATGGGTAAATATTTTTTCCAGGAATCAGAGTTTGAATATGACAATATCGCATGTAAATCGGAATAAATTGAATGCCTGATAAAATGCAAGAGAAATTCAATTTATTGCGGGATATGGCAGCCATTATAAGTGGGTATACCGGTATAAACTGCTTTCTAATAGGCAAATGTAATTTACAAATTTATTTAGTTTAGGGCCGTTAATAAATTTAATGCACTTTTTGCCATATTTTATAATATTTAAATATTATAGAAGTTAAACCTAAAACTAAAAATGTGAAATAAACCTATTTCGCAAGTCAACGAACATACAACGTAGGTAGCAAACAGGGGAGAAAATAGGGTGAAAATCAGCGACTTTCCGAGCGTTTAAACACATCGCATGATCCATGTTTCATGCCATCTTCGTTTTCAAGAAAACCTTTGACTCTCGAATTTGCATAATTTTTGTAGGATATATAGTCAGACTGATGCCGGCGTAAATTCAAAAAAATAATTCTAATCCTCTTACGAAAGCAAAGGGAATTAATTAACAAGGATTAAGAAGTTTAACAAGTTTAAAAATTTGCGTTCGTTATGTAAAACAGGTAGTTTTAAGGATTGCGAATGGTTTTAATTAGGTTTTTTTATGCATTTTAACTCTATTAATGCACAAAGGATAGTTAAGAATCTTGACATTTAAAATAAAAATAACGATTGATAACCTTGTATCTAAAGATTTCAGTCGCCCACTCACTTTCGCTGTGCATTTAACTAAAAGGTGTTTTATTTTCTTATAAAAACGTTTAATTAGAAAACAATTTTCCTAAACTCCCAAAAATAATTTGCTGTGGAGACCACCTGGGTGACTCTAAGCCTATACGTAAATAACATAGGAAATAGATTCCACCATAAATTGATGTATTTATTTCACATCAAAAATCTATCAATATTTAATAGAAATGCTGCCAATTTACGTAAGAAACTGGAATCAATACTTGACCTATTTTAAATAAAAACTTGTGAAAAGAGTTTTTAAAATATTTAATCATTATTATGTAAAATATACGAAAAATCGTTAATGATGGAAAGAAAAAGCAGGGACCCAGCACAGTTCCTTGGGGAACACCCCCTGTTTCAAAAAAATCTGTTTTTAAATAAACGACATTAAGTTTACAACCAACTGCAATCTGTTAACTAATTGAATAATTAGTTTGTAATTATAACAAACATTTTGTAGATTTAATAATAAAATCCTATATCAATAATTCAACCAAAATTCTTGTAATTTTCAAAAAGGATCTTATTTTTACAAACCTTTTTGTAGACCCAGTAAAAAAAGTATTTGTTGGAAATTGGGAAAAAAATTGATAAAAAATGTTGCTTTATTAGTCAATGTCCTAAACAAAAAAATAACACATACCTATGTACATAAATGAACACAAAAATCAATTGCAATGATGTGTATACACTATAGTGTCCTTTAAATTGTTCTTTTATTTGAAGTAAGGTTGGTAGGTTTAGGACATAAAAAAGAAAAATTGCCGACGTTTCGAAAATATTTATTTATTTCTTAAGGCTAAATATTAGTTAAATAGTCGAATTAATCTATGGACATTCTCAATAGATTACATAACAAAAACATAAAGTTATAGTAAATATAATACTGTATATGAGAAGGTCCATGCCAAAACTGGGCTTATCCACTTTTTAATAAAAATGAGTTAGTGGTGTCTATACGTTTAACATGTATCCCTCTACAGTATAGAGTCTATACCCTGAAAAAATCATAATATTCAAAAACTCACCTTATTACATTTAAAATTCATTTACAAATTGACTGTCGTTCCAAAACCTTATAAATTGGTTATATCATCCAGAACTCGGCATACGAGGTGTGTTCAGAAAATATCGGGAATTTTCGTTTTTTTGAAACAAATATTTATTTATTTGTCTACATTAATGTTGTCGCCTTCAAAATAGTCCCCATTGGATATTATGCACATGTGCCAGCTCTTCTTCCAATGCTCGAAACACTTCTAAAACTCGATCTTTGGGATAGCATTTAGTTCTTTCAGCGATGCGCTTTTAATGTCATCTATGCTTGCAAAACGAAGGCCCTTTAAGGTTCTCTTTATTTTTGGGAATAGGAAAAAGTCAGACAGAGGCATGTCTCGCGAATATGGAGGCTGAGGCATCATTACAGTATTGTTTTTGGCCAAAAATTTTGTTCAAAATTTAACAATTTTAGAACAAATTTTGCTGCCAAGCGTTTCATACCAAAATCATTCGAAAAAATTTGATGAGCCAATCAATATACCAACATCATCAGCGACTTCTCTGATGGTTTATAACCATTTCTTCCACTTTTTCCATGTTTTTATCGGTTGTTAATGTGCTTGTGCCTTCGGGACGTTCGTCATCTTCAACGTCTTCACGGCCAACTTGGAAACTCTTATACCACTTGTAAACTCTTGTTTTACTTATAGCAGACTCACTATAGGCCTTTGTTAACATTTCACAGAATTTATTTCATTTTTTAAGCAAAATTGGATACAAATTCTTTGATCCATTTCTTTTAACGAACGAAAAATCGCCGAGCTCATAAAACACGTCTAACTTTAGCGGCTGCCACAGACAAAGTTAACAATGAAAACAGCTTAAGTTTTTATCATACTTCGGGGGCATGTATACCAATATAATAAAGAAAATTTTATGACAACCGGACCCACCGAACCCGCGTAATTTAACAATTCCCGTTATTTTCTGAACACACCTTCTATAGTCTGTTTTTTAAATATTGTTTTGTCATCCCTTTGTAACATTTATCAGTCTGCACATGGTATTTTATATATTAAATTTGATTGTAATAAGGGAGGTGTCTTTTAATTTTGTAAATAAACTGTTTGTTAATTTGTTGATATAGAAGGCTAACCGGCATTGATTGTTTTGTGATTTTATATTTTGTTGTATTTTTTCTGATAGTTCCGTAATTTTTTCCTCTGATTTTTTATCTTTATTGTGTAATTTATTATTATTGTTGTTGATTAATCTATTTATTAAGGATTTAGGATAATTGTTGTTAATTAAAACGTTTTTAATTGTATTTGTTATATTATTATTATTATTATTATTATTTTATTTTCTTCATGAAATTGGGGGCTGCAAATAAACTTAGAATCTATTATCTAATTTCCTAATTTTTTTGCAGGAGCAAAGTGGCCGCAGCTTTATTGAATAAGCATCTGCAGATCAACGGGATATCTGCCGGTATAACTTCGTTAAGACAGTCGGTGGATGGGAGTCTTGAGAGTGAGAAAGAGCAGCAACAGCAGGACCAGGGCACTAGCAGCAAAATGAAGAGGGAGAGAAAGGCTGCACGAACGTTGGGAATCATTGTGTCAGCTTTTTTGGCCTGCTGGTTACCGTTTTTTCTGTGGTGAGTTTTAATGAAGAAACTAGATTAATGGTTTTGTCTTAATTTAGATAATTTTATCAGATTGTTTTAATGAAATAATGATGCAAAAAAATACTATAATAATAATAATCATATTAATAATAATAATAATAATAATAATAATAATAATAATAATACAAATAATCAGTCAAGACCGATAGCAACTCGACCTGCTGGAGTTAGATCAAAGGAAATTATGACAACTTTAAACCTGGATTGGCCCGCCTATTTTTCCTTTTCCTTTAATAATGTTCCTCCGTCAAAAATATTACCTTTTAAATCCCTGTTAACATTGTCACGCTTTAAAAAAGCTGAAGTTAGCCTTACCCTGTTAAAACAAGAATTTTACCGTATTGTTGATACTTACCCAACATATACACAAATATTTACTGATGGCTCCAAAACTCCAAATGGAGTTAGCAGGGCATTTTATGCTTTTGGCAATTCATATTCTTGGCGTCTTCCTAATTCAGCCAGCATCTTTTCTGCAGAGATGTTTGCAATCTGGCAGGCTTGTCTCTTTTGCTGCTTTTCTAAGCTAGAAAAGTTTCTTATTTGCACTGATTCCTTAAGTTGCATAATGGCCTTGGCAGATACGTTCAGCTCAGATCCACTCACTCAAAACGTTCTAGAGCTAAATTATCCCCTAAAAACCATAAATAAATTTGTCATCTTAGTATGGACTCCTGGACATGTTGGTATTTGTGGCAACGAGGCTGCTGATCTTGCAGCTCGAAGTGCAATTGATGGTAAACAGGATGGAGTACCTATAAGAAAAAAAGACTTTGCCTTAACATTTTCAAAAGAAATATTAGGCCTCTGGCTATCCGATTGGCTTTTCACAGGTAGTAAGCTGGTCAAACTAAAAAACACAAATGAAAAATGGATTCTTCCCATTAAGTTAAGTAGAAGACAACAATCCATAGAACATATTTTTTAACGATTGTCCGTTATACGAAGACACGCGCGAACTGATAGAACTAAATCCCTTTAACTCGGTCTGTTGGGAGGATCCAAGAGAAATTCTTAAAATATTGTTCTTCCTAAAAAAAACAAATCTAATGTTAAGATTTTTTTTGTAAAGCCTTACCTACCTGTGATATCTATTTCAACTCCACCCTATTATAAGATCACTTAATATACCTACCTACAGTTTTTTGATCTGAACATGAAGAATGCCCAGATAATTTGACAAGTTGTGATTAGCCGGGCTAATGACCATTAGTTGTCGATGCCCATTAATAATAAATAATAATAATAATAATAATAATGCGAAAAGCAGCCATTCTAGTCAACAGCAATTTGTATCTCACATTTAGCTGTCAATTTCTATGCAAAATTATCCACTGAATCCGAAAATGTCAAAAGTTATAAAAGGAGAACATTTTTTGAAATAGTCAATTTTTCATATAATATAGAATTGACTATATCTTAAAAAACTGCTCTACTTTTCTAACTTTTTATGATATTTTCGGATTCAGCGGACAATTTTACATAGGAATTTACTGTTAAAAATCCGGGATACAAATTAATGTGGACTCTACTTAGTGGCTGCTTTCTCACTATGACAATTAGTCATTTTCGACTATTTTAAGAGAGTAGATTTAGCATTTTCTGTAAATTTATAGTATTTTTATTTCCAAAATATGTTTTTACAAATCCCTTATTTGTACTTTTATGATGTTTAACTTATAACTTGGATTGACTTGACAAAAAAAATATTAATACGGTTTTAATTCTCTGCAGTCTCGCCCTGCTAGACCAAAAATAAATTTATACCAAATTAAAGTTCAAGAGGAATCTTAGTCGTTGTCCCATCCCACAGTGGTTCCAAAAATCTGGCCAAAAGTAAAAATGTGAGCGAAAATTCTTGAAAATCTGTGGTTTTAGGTTTTTGGGGTCAAGAAATCGAAATTTTAAATCAAACTTTAAGAAAACAAAATGGCTGACTTAAAATGGTCGTTAAAATTGACAATAATTTAACTAAAATTACCCAGGTAGCTGACGTTTATATGACGTCTTCTGACGTTTAAATGACGTTAGAAACGTCATTTCAACGTCATATAAACATCAGCACACGTCAGTGTGCTACCTGGGTAGTGCTTGTAGGTTTTCTAAGTAGAGAAATTTACATTTCACAACGAAATTTACAAAAACAAGATGGCCGTATTAAAATGGCCGACCGTATCAGTCAAAATAGACAACAAATTATCAAAAATGAGTTTTTGCTTGTTTGATTTTAAAGCATTTCATTGGGTTTAAAAACAAGCCTTCTTGAATTAAATGTTTTGGTAATTTTTTTATGTAATCAAACGGTACTCTCTAAAAATGAATTTAATAGTTATTAGTGGGTGATTTTTCACTTGTACCATGGAATAGCATGGTATCCCAATTTTTAATCCATTCCTATTATTTTAACATACAGAATCTGATATTTAATTCTCTATTTTTTATAAATTATTTTTTTTCTTCAAATATTGTATTTTTAGCATAATACATTTAAAATTATACTTAAAAATAATAATAATTTTAGTTTTTTAATAAAAAAGAATAATCTCTATTTTAATTTTTTTTAATAAAACAACAAATTTGTATTTAAAGTAGAAACCACGAATATATGAACGTGACTCATCCGACACATTCGTACGAAGCAATCTATCGAAGGTCACGGTCCAGTGCAGTCCAGTTTGTAAAAAATCTTGAGTGTAATGTTGGTTGCTATACTTATGATATATTTGCTTTTAAAGTTAAATTTTAATAATTAACATCTACGATAATGAAATAAAATGTAATTTTCTTAGAAACTAATTAATAAATAAACTTTTCTTTTAACTTTAATGAAATATTCTATCATCTGATGACAGAACGTACACTCGTGGCGACATCTCTGTTTTTAATATCTAACAAATTTTTAGACCGATCCAAACTTTCTTCCAATTAAATTCTTTGTCTATGGTATTTTTTGGAAACGTAGAAAAAGTATAGTCTGAAACACGTTTGGAATTGCATATTCCCCTCTCGTGAAACCGTCAAACTTGTTACAGAATATACTATTCTTTTAACTGTAAACGCAAATATTTCAGAATTGGTGACAAAAAACAAAAATGTTTACGCAGGTCAGGTACAAAGTGAAAGATATTTAAATTGTGTGGATATAAAAACAACTTGCGTTAGTTTCACGAAATTTATTAAATATTGACAATTGTTTCGTTACACAGTAGCTTCTTCAGAATGTATTAAACTAATACTAGTACAAAATTTATATAATAAAAATATTTTTGTATTCTGGCCTAGAATTTCTGGGTAAGGATTTTTATACGACATCTACCTGTGTTACATAATATAAACGATTATTAATCCGTAAACACACACCGTTTATTTAAAGTCCAAAAAACGTACAATAACAATTGCCAGTCCAATAAACATGCAATAACAATTGCAATAAAAACCACTAGCACTACAACGTTTAAATCGATTATTAATCCGTAAACACACACCAGAAACACGATATGTAAAAACAAAGATCATATGACATATAAAAACAAATGGCCGACGGTAAAGTTGTAATAAAATAAAATAAATGCCTAAATCACGAACTCTACTGAATATAAGTAACAAGCTAGGACACGCGTCATATGTCCATCTTTGTCGAACACCTAGGCAGTTTTACATCACAGATGGCGCATTTTAGACCGGATGCTTAAAAACCTACGTGTGAGTACATTTACCGCTGCATCGAATGTACAAGACAAGTAAAACATTACTGCTAGCATGTGTGAGATATGTTCGGCACCCGATGAGTCACGTTCATATATTGGTGGTTTCTACTGTATATTATATTCAATAGGTATATGTTAAAAAAAATCTTTTAGTTTAACGATTATACTTTGCTTTAGAATCTATTATACAGGGTGTCTCATTTGGTTTTTCACTTTTTGAATTTAAAATTAAAATAAACCAATCGATCAATTTTGACAAATTTTTTATTAAATTAAAGAAAAAACTTGGGAAATTTATTTTTTTTAAATTATATTGTCCAAATGTTGCCCATTTTTTTTCCTGGCACTCTTGAAGTCGAGCTCTAAAATTTGAAATCACGCTCCGAAAAGTTTGCTCACTTATGGCTTTCATTTCTGCCCGAATATTGTGCTTCAAGTCCTCCAAATTAGCAGGGTGGTTACGATAAACTCGACTTTTAAGATATCCCCATAAAAAGAAGTCGCATGGAGTCAAATCCGGGCTTCTGGGGGGCCAATTTATGTCACCTCTTCGGGAAATCAGTTTTTCAGGAAAAAACGCCTGAACAACGGGCAAAGACCGATTTGAAGTGTGACTTGTGGCTCCGTCTTGTTAAAACCAGCTTTCTTGGTCAAATCCTTCAAATTCTTCAAGAGCAGGTGTCAAAAAATCACGTATCGTGTCGACATAACGCCTGCGAACCGACAAGTTTGGTTCCTGCCGCACAGACGCTCTCACCATCTCAATGTTTTCAGAGCTTCTTATTGTTCTTAAACGGTTGGTTATGCGTTTATTTGTCGTTAAACCAGTCTCTTCAAACTTACGAAACCATGCCCTAATTTAATTAATGCCTGGGCATTGTTAAATGTCGTGTAAATTATAATGGCGTCTAAACAAACGTCGAACGAGAGTGCAAAAATTGTTATTTTTATAAAACTCGCCATACAAAAAGCGCGTTGTTCTCCTGTGTAACGCTGCATGTTGACTAAATTTCCCAATACCAAGCGTTTGTTTACGACTAACCCCACTCTTCCAACCCACCTAACAACTTTTTTACAGGGCCACAAAAAGTGAAAAACCAACTGAGACACCCTGTATAGTTGTATCACAACCTAAAAAACACAACTTGATATATTTCGTAAATGTGCAACACCGTGTATAAAATTTAAATAATTTTAAATTCTAGCTTTAATGGTTGTCCATTTAATCAGTAAATAAAAATTTTAAACTTAACTATTCAGTCTAGCT